AGGTTCAAGATGTGGAGATACAGCTGAACACTTACACCGATGAGGAAGTGATAATTGGAGCCGATGCAGTTGATCTAGATGACACATTGCCTTGGGAGAAGAAGCCAAAGGTCATTATTGTAGTGAGTAGGGGCAACTGTATGAATGACCTCAATGGAGCTTTTATGGATCCAGATATCATGAACAAAGATGTTCACATCAAAAGGAAGCTTCCCAATGGGAAACTAGAAGAAGGAGAGGGTTCAGGTGTTTTGAGGGACTGCCTGTCAGAATTTTGGGGAGAATTCTACACAAAATGCACACTGGGTACAGATGTGAAGACACCCTATCTTAGGCATGAATACCAAGTCCAGGAATGGCAAGCAATTGCGAGAATTATTGTTACAGGGTGGCTAACTGTACAGTATTTTCCAATACTGCTGCCTCTTCCATTTCTGGAAGAAGCTCTATACGGTACCACTTACAGCAATGTAACCGATTGCTTCATGCAATACATATCAAAAGAAGAGAGAAAAATCCTTCAGCTTGCACTGGAATCATTTGAGTCTGTTGACAGAGATGATCTAATAGATGTTCTAGATGCACACGACTGCCACCAGATTCCTTGTAAGGAAACTCTTGCTCCACTCTTGATGCAGTTAGGGCACAAAGCTCTTATCCAAACACCAATGTTTGTTATCAGATGTTGGAGACCCATCTTGAAGTGTTTGGCAGGCACTTTGTATCCACAGAGACTTGTGGAGATGATGGAAGAACGCATTCCAACATCTAAGCGCGTGAGAGCACTTTTGAAGTTCCCAGAGGAAATGACTGCACTTCAGAACACTGTGGCAAGACACCTAAGGAAGTATATTGGGGAGACAGATGACCTCAACTTGAAGTCTTTTCTTCGTTTCTGCACAGAGGCAGACATCCTACTTGGACATCCCATCACAGTGCAGTTCACAGAAACCTCTTCATTCCAATGTAGATCTCAGGCGCATACATGTGGGTGCTATTTGATCATACCTACCAACTACCAGAGCTATCCAGATCTTCGCAATGACTTTGACCTCGTCTTAAAAAGTTCCATTTGGGTTATGGACATTGTATGAGCATTAATAGGCAGGCTCAAGTGAAGTTATACAAGGGCACTGCCATACAGGGACCCACACTAGTGATCCCACCTTGCTCCTGCACCATAAATGGAAATGAACAACTGGGTATTTCAGTTGTAGCCTGGTTAGATAGAAATATTTTGATTTGAAATGTTTGTTTATACAACATACTTTAGTCATCCTGCTCACAACAAGCTGATAATTCGAAACCTCCATCTTCATTGCCCTGAAAGAGCAATTTGTTTGCATTACCTTCCCATTTTGTACTGCTAAGTGGACATTTTCGTTACTTTGTACTTGCGTTTGCAACTAGAGTTTATTGTAGATTGGTCTTTTTTTTTATTTCTTTCAACTGTTTAGCTAACTGAAGTTAACGTTCCAACAGTGTTCTGCTTGTTTCAAGTGCAACTGCACATTATCACAATATCTTTACTATTCACAGAAAGTTAATTATTGTTGGCTCAATGCATGCAATAAATAAGTAAATGAGTTAACAACTATTGTCTTTTCCTTTGATATGTTTTATTACACATAACTGAAAAAAGATACAGTGCATGACCACTTCTTAGAGCTGACATTAGATGTCTTTAAATTGAATTATAAACTATACAACAAACATGGTCATTTTGGTTTAAATGCCTGTGATTTGATAATTAAGAATCACATAAGTTCTAATACTGTAATAAAACAACAACCCAAAAAAATAGTAGAAACAAGAATTATTAATATTATTTACAGCAGAAACAGTAAATGTTGACTTGTAAGTAGATATGGAAGAAACTCAATGACTACATTTAAAATATTTATATGAGTAGTCCTGCACAAATTAATTGCAGTATTAAAGGTGTAACAATTTCAGTACAGTCTTAAAGAAAATGTATCAGGACATTTTAATTTGCAGTCTTTTGTTTTCAAATAAAACTTATATTTCTGAGCCAAACAATCTCTGAGCATAGAAATGGAGCTTTGTAGAATCAAGACATGTTTAACATGTTAATGTTTCATTACACCCCTAGCGAGTGTATAGACAATTGGTACTCAGTTTAGGATAAGGGAGCGAAGTGCTTCACGAAGTGTCATGTATAACTGCGTGACTTGAGATACACCTTTGGGAAAAGTCAAACTTAATTCAAGCATGATGACAGTACATAGATCAAATATGTCATCATCACATGGGACTGCTGTAATGAACTTGCATGCCTGTTTGCATGTATCAAGGTCAGTATGTGGAGCAAGGAATTCTTCAGAAGCCCACAGCTGAGGTACTGTATGCATCACATCAGGAATCCCACTGGGCACATTGTGGTTTCTGCATGGCCTGATACGGTGAGCATTCCACACTGCCTTGATCTCATCCAGTTGTTCCTAAAATAACATTTGTAGTTAGGAAGCAGAAAAGCGATGAGAGTGTCAAACTAGGTCATAAGATTACATTGGAGGTATTTCACAAAATTTCATCATTGATAGTTAATCATATGCATTGCTTTACTTGCTGTACACCGATCAGGCATAACATTATGAGCACCTCCTTGTTTCTGTGCTCATTGTCCATTTTATCAGCTCCACTTACTATATAGGTGCACTTTGTAGTTCTACAATTACAGACTGTAGTCCATCTGTTTCTCTGCATACTTTGTTAGCCCCCTTTTACCCTGTTCTTCAGTGGTCAGGACCCCCATGGACCCTCACAGAGCAGGTATTATTCGGGTGATGGATCATTCTCAGCACTGCAGTAACACTGACGTGGTGGCGGTGTGTTAGTGTGTGTTGCGCTGGTCTGAGTGGATCAGACACAGCAGTGCTGCTGGAGTTTTTAAACACTGTGTCCACTCACTGTCCACTCTATTAGACACTCCTACCTGGTCAGTCCACCTTGTAAAGTCAGAAACGATAGCTCATCTGCTGCTGCACAGTTTGTGTTGGTCTTCCTCTAGTCCATCATCAGTGGTCACTGGACGCTGTTGGCTGGATATTTTTGGTCAGTCCAGCTGTGACACTGAGGTGTTTAAAAACTCCAGCAGCACTGCTGTGTCTGATCCACTCAGACCAGCGCAACACACACTAACACACCACCACCACATCAGTGTTACTGCAGTGCTGAGAATGATCCACCACCCAAATAGCACCTGCTCTGTGAGGGTCCATGGGGGTCCGGACCACTGAAGAACAGGGTAAAAGGGGGCTAACAAAGTATGCAGAGAAACAGATGGACTACAGTCTGTAATTGTAGAACTACAAAGTGCACCTATATAGTAAGTGCAGCTGATAAAATGGACAATGAGCAAAGAAACAAGGAGGTGCTCATAATGTTATGCCTGATCGGTGTATTTTACTATATTTTACAAATGTCATTCCCACATTAATACAAATATTACTTCAATAAAAATTTTATATTTAAAAATTTTCACATCAGCTTTTTACTTGGCAATAATTTGCCATTAAAGCCTATATTTTATTTATGTGGAAATCACATACACATGAAGTGAATTCAGTACATACTTTTTCTCAGTACAATGAATTCCAAATATCCAAAACAGGAACATGTTTATCAGTAAAAAAGTGCTATTTCAGGGTTTGTTTAGAACAGTTATCCTGACAAGATTTGTAAAATGTGTTCGTTCATTCATTCATCTATTTATTAATTCACGGGAAGTTGATGTATGATTCTATAGACCATCGCGAGGATTTTGGCTGCCAAATACTTAAAATGCTACTGCAAAATCACTTCATATTTGGTATGTACAATGAGACCAAGAGTAGAAATCCTTCTATTTTGAATTCTTTTTAGTTTAATACAATATTTTCCATTACAAAATATATTATCAGACAGTTTATCAAACAATTATCAAGTGAAATGTGAAATCTTTTAAATATTTACTTGAATCTCAAGGTTTCTTAGTGTTCCCCTTTTGCTTTAATGACATTGTGCACTCATACTCCACAAGTTTGTGCAGAGGCCTTTGATGAACAGATAATATTTATCTGAATACAAACTTCAGTGAAAAGGATAACACTCAAAAAATACTCAGCTTTTTGTTCAAAGGCCCTAACATAGTCAGTGACCCAAATTTTCTTCCATTTAAATAGTGACCTACAAATAGTTCAGAATCTGGAATATTTCTTCTTAATTTTACTGATCAGAAAATTTCTTTGCTTTCAATTTTTCACAATTGTAACACTTTATGTTGTTTATTTTCAGGTTTAAATGAAGAAATCCCAGATTTCCAATGTACTCCCTGACTTTTGGCCCCCACTGTACATAGTATGACAGAGTATGAACTGATATTGGTTTTCAGGACTATACTTATTGGAAAAAATATTTTTATGTTGTATTGGACTGTTATATTGACCGGTGTATGGACTTTGGCTGTCAATTACTTATG